TGGTTAAGCTTTCCCAGGAGCTAATCTACTGAAGACATTCTAGGAAAGCTACTGAGTCATGGAAAAAAACAGTTCATGCAAGCTATGACAAAGCTGTGTCCCAGGATCATCCCCAAGCTCACCCTGATTGTCTTCACCTGGCAGCAAGGGCCAAGAGCGATGTCCTGAAGCAGTCGGTCAGTGACTTGCTACTTGTACCTGGACTGCTTCCCCTCAAACGATTCCACAACACACTAAAAATGTAGTCATTGAGGCCTCCACCAAAGTTGGTATCGGCAACAGAAATCCCCCAAATGCCTATTTCAGAAGTGACAGTGAAGCCCAAAACACCAGGAAGTCAAGATGTTAAACAGAAAGAAGGAAATAAGAAATGACAGAGTAACCCAAGTTTGCTCAGAAATCCAGAGACGTCCAAATTTTTTCAAAGATCAAAGCTATTCCTCAACTCCAGGCAACAAGCAATGTGTTTTTGCTGTAACAGCTGGACTGTTTCTTTAACAGCTGGTGCACTCAATTTCTTACCAAGAACCTAGTTACACGCCTGATATTGGAGAAAAAATAATGAATAAATAAATAAGTAAATAAGTCAGTAAGCTTTTCCCTACTCTTAAGCAAAGCGCCTTTAACAGTTACACTCAACAACAGCAACTCAATGTGAAAAACGTGTTCTCTTCATGAGGGTCTTACAGATTTTCAAAAAAATTGAGGAGAAAGATCCAGAATTTTAATTTAAACCTATAATCCAAGTCAATTTAAAGCACATTTTTGGAGCTGGAGAGATGGCTCAGAAGGTAAAGGCTTGATAACCTGATTTGATTCCCAGAATACACATGATGGAAGGAGAGAATCAACTCCTACGAATTTAACCTCTACATACACGCACGCTGTGTTTGCACAGTATGTCTACACACACACACACACACAAACACACACACACACACACACACACACACACACACACACACACACACACTCACACAAATATAAAATACATGAAAAATAAATAGCCAAACAACACCCCCTTCAAAAAACCAAAACAAAATAAATAAACCAAAACTCAAAAGAAACAAACAAAACCCCAGGAGCCTGGGTTGGCTGCTTGGCTTCTCCCACGTGTGGTCACCTTCTCTTAGGCTCCGGAGTTCTCAAGGCAGTAAGGTTCTGGTGGAGGTAGGAAGGCTGGAGGGTTACTCACATAGAAACGACTCTTTTTCCAAGGTGTCCGAGATCAAATCATCTCTTTCCCCATAAGAGCCGTTCAACGTGTACCGAGGACTAGTCTTCCAAACACACTGATGAGGAGCAGAACTTGATAGATTGCCTTTCTGGGCTAAGAGTAAGTGGTTTAGTTCAAGTTACTTGTAGGGTGGCTCAATATCTCTAGTGCTGAGGTTAATATAAATCCTGACCACTCAAAAACCACAACTTTTATTACCACGGTCCATCACAGGCTTTTGTAATAACACATCCCATTTTTAAAAGATCTCTCACATTCCAATTTATGCAAAGTGAGAATAATTATTCCCATTTAACAAGAGAAAAAGGAGAGTAGAGGTTAATACCATGGTATAGTGGTTTTATAATGGTGTTTGGAAGGCAGAAAAACTCAGCAGCTCTAAGAGTTGCTCAGAGAGCCAAAGCCAAGCGAAGGCAGGTATCAGAGTGGGAGCCAAGTATTGTACTGTAGGCAGAAGTTTCTGTCCCACCAGCAGCTCCCAAATAAACACACTGACACTTACATTAATTACAAATGCTCTGCCAATAGCTCAGGCTTGTTACTAGCTAACTCTTACATTTAAATTAACCCATATTCCTTATCTATGTTTTGCCATGTGGCTTGGTACCTTTTCTCAGTACAGCATGCCCATCTTGCTTCTCTCTGTTTCTGCTGGTGACTCCAGACTCTGCCCTTCTTCCCCCAGTATTCTGAGTTTGGCTCTCCCACCTAACCTTATCCTGTTCAGCTATTGGCCAGTCAGCTTCTTTATTAAACCAATCACAGTGACATATATTCACATAGTGTAAAGGAAGGAATATTCCACATTGTACCAAAAGCATTTTTCTTTTTTAAATACAGGTCTTACTATGTAGCCCTGGCTGTCCTGGAACTCACTCTGTAGACCAGGCTGGCCTCAAACTCACAGAGATCTGTCTGCCTCTGCCTCCCAAGTGCTGAGATAAAAGGCATGTGCCACCACATCCAGCTTCAAAAGCATTTCTGTCCTAGGGATACTTATTGAATCTGACAAACTGAAGTTTTCCTTTCCACGAATTAGTAACAGAGCAGAAATTGTTAATAACAATGTTGAACGAGGTTGTCAGAATTACAGTCACTATAAAGCTGGCCATGGTGAGTAAACAAAGGCAGCAAGAAGGATTGCAAGTCTGAAGTCGGCTGGACCACATGGCAAGACTTTGTCTCAAAAGGCCGAGAGCTGTAGATCTAGTTCAGTGGGAGAACACCTGCCTAATAAGTGCGAGGCGCCAGGCTTGCACCCCAGAACGGCAAAAATAAACAAGCAAAAAAAAGTTATGTATTGAGGTGGAGACCAGCTTGGGTTACAAATGACCCTGTCTCAAAAGACCAAATAAATAAATAAATAAATAAATAAATAAACAAAAACTTACCAGGCATGGTGGTACATGCCCTTAGTCCCAGCACTCAGGAGGCAGAGGAAATCAGATCTCTGAGTTCAAGGCCAGCCTGGTCTACAAAGTGAGTTCCAGGACAGCCAGGGCTGTTGTACAGAGAAAGCCTGTCTTGAAAAACCAAAGCCAAAAGCAAAACAAAATGTCACACTAGAAAATGAGTTTCTGGCTGGCAAGACGGCTTCAGGGAGGAGAGGTTCTGGCTGCAAGGCCTGAGGACCTGAGTCGGATCCCTGGGGGCGAAGTTGGAAGGAGAGAACCACCTCCTGAAAATTGTCCTCTGAACTCCATGTGTGGATAATGTATGTGTGCACACACATTTTCACACATAGAAGGAATGTCATAAAGGTGAGTTTCCTTGTCTTTTTGTAGCTGAGGATGACTATGAACTTCCGGTTCTCCTGGCTCAGCCTCCAGGGCTGGGACTGCACACACATGCTTCCACCCCTAGCTTCAAAAGACCCTAAAATTTAAAAGACAGCATTTGGAACTAGAGAGATGGCTCAGCAGTTATGAGTACTTACTCCTCTTCCAGAGGATCCACATCCAGTTCCCAGCACCCACATGGTGGCTTACAACCATCTGTCACTCAAATTCTAGGGGATAGAAAACCCTTTTCTGGCCTTTAAAGGCACCAGACAAGTATATAGCATACATACACACATGCAGGGAAACACACTGTGCTGGACAGTTTTATGTGAGCTTGACACAAGATAAAGTCACCAGAAAGGAAGGAACTTCAATTAAGAAAATGCCTCTATAAATCAGGATGTAAGTAAGCCTGTAGGGCATTTTCTCAATTAATTCTTGATGGGGGAAGGCCCAGCCCATTGTGGATGGTGCCATTACTGGGCTGGTGGTCCTGGGTTCTTTTTTGCGTAGACTAGGCTAGCCTTGGACTCAGAGATCTGCCAGCCTTTGCCTCACAAATCCTGGGATTAAAGGCATGTGTCACTAGGCCCTGCTGGTCCTGGGTTCTGTAAGAAAGCAGGCTTAGCAAGCCATGGGGAACAGCCAATAAGCAGCATCCCCCCATGGCCTCTGCATCAGCTCCTGTCTCCAGGTTCCTGTCCTGTTTAAGTTCCTGTCCTGACTTCCTTCAATGATGGACTACAATGTGGAAGTGTAAGCTCAATAAACCCTCTCCTTCCCAATTTGCTCTTTGGTCATGGTGTTTCAATGCAGCAACAGAAACCCTAAGACACACACACAAATAAATAAATCTTTTTTAAAGGCATTTAACTTGCATGGTGGTTTGAATGAGAATGACTCCCATAGGTTTGTGTGTTTGAATGCTTCATGGACCTGCTTGGGAAGGATTAGGAGGTGTGGCCTTGTTAGAATAGGCGTGTCTATGGGGATGAGTTTGAGATTTTAAAAGACATGTGCCATTCTGATGTGCTCTTTGTCTCTGGGAGATGTGAGTTCTCAGCTGTTCCCGCTGCCATGCCTTTCCTCCATCATCATGGACTCTAACTCTCTGGAACCAATTAAGTGCTTGCTTTTCTTTCTCTCTCTCTTTCTCTCTTTCTTCCTCTCTTTCTCTCTTTCTCTCTTTCTTTCTTTTTCTTCCTTCCTTCCTTCCTTCCTTCCTTCCTTCCGTTTTCTTCCTTCCTTCCTTCCTTCCTTCCTTCCTTCCTTCCTTCCTTCCTTCCTTCTTCCTTTCTTTCTTTCTTTCTTTCTTTTTTCTGGAGCTGAGGACCAAACCCAGGGCCTTGCGCTTGCTAAGCAAGCGCTCTACCATAGTGCATTAATCACAGCAATAGGAAAGTAACAAACACAACGTAGGAGGCAGAGGTAGAAAGATTGCAAGTTTGAGGCTCGCCTAGATGAACATGCCGCAGCTCTAGGATGTAACCTTGTCTTTAAAAAAAAAAAAAAAGATAACATAATAATACAAAAATGGAAATACTATACAAAATCTGTAACTATACCCTGGGTATAGAGGCACATGTTTGTAATCCCAATGCTTTGAAAGTAGAGGTAGAGGATTTCAGCTCTGTCTACCTAGTAAATTACAGGCCAGCCAGGGTACATGGCAGGATTTTGTCTTAAAACAATAATAAAACAGGCTGGAGAGATGGCCCAGAAGTTTTAAGAGTGCTTACTGCTCTTTCATAGAACCAAGTTGGTTTCCATCACCTACATGGTGGTTCATAACCATCTATATTCTAGTTCCTGGGGGCCCCAACCTCCTCAGGTACCAAACACACACACACACACACACACACACACACACACACACACACACACACAGTGCACATATATCCACGTAGGCAAAAACACCCATACACCTGGCAGTGGTGGTGCACGCCTTTAATCCTAGCATCTGGGAGGCAGAGGCAGGTTCAAGCCAGCCTGGTCTTACAAAGTGAGTTCCAGGACAGCCAGAGCTACACAGAGAAAAACAAACAAACAAATAAACAAAAAACCACCACCAACAACAACAAAAACAAAAAACAAACAAAAAACATTTTTCCTAATAAACTCCAACTCTACTTTAAACAAGAAAGGTCAGTATGGTTATATACCTGGTATATACAGACTGTCTCAAAAAGAAATCAACAGGTAAATAAGTAATTAATTAATTAAAAATAAAAGATTTCAAGGTGTCGGTGATTGAATGTAGCCCCTGGGCAATGTTAGACAAGTGTTCTATCAGCTTGACCCTCCGTCCCTAATGCTTTTCTAACATCACAAACTAATTTTAAAATTTACATAAAGAGTACTTGAGATGGATCTTAGCAGGGGACTTGCATAGCATACTGTATTGAACACAGGTCACCTTGAGAACCAAAAGGAAAAAAGAATTGAGAAAAGCAAAGTCTCAAGAAGAGGCAAGGTGCTTCTGAAGAACATGGAGAAAGGAGCAAATGACTCTCCAGATAGCAAGACTATAAACTGGGTACAGCGGTGTCTAAGACAGGGGCGTGAGCTCCTTGCCTTCCTGGACCACGGAGTGAGAGTCATCCAAATTAGAAACCATTTTAATGTCCTACGGCAATTCAGAGAAGACAGTTATCGCTGCTCCAGTAGGAAAGAAGGCCAGTCAACTAAAGAGCCCGGAAGGGGCATTTGTACTCTTGTATATAGCAAGTCTGTCCCTAGACAGAGGGGATACCAGCAGTTCAATAGGGGTGGGAAGTACTTTTCAACTAATCACCTAGTCTTATCCAAGCACAGTTCTTTCAGCCGATGCAGCAGTTCAACTCGGTGATGCTGGAAAAGAAGGAAGCATTACCTTTAAAGTATCCATAATACTGGAGGTGATGGTGCATAAAATCCTCATAGGGATCAGAAAGAGTCTGTGAAAGAAAAGGCATTCTCAAGCAGGACGTTTCATTCAGATGGCGCTGAATTCTTAGCAAAAAGTGCCAAACATGCCTCACAGGATACAGTAACAAAACAAGCGAAATCCATGCAATTATCGAATTATTTCATCTTGGCAATCATGCTCTCTAACGGATCTGGGGTACCAGCAGGTGTGGAGCACACTAGCAATTCCAGCACCAGAAAAGCAGAGGTAGGAGGAGCAAGTTCAAGGCTAGTATGGGTAACAGTGAGTTGGGGCCAACCTGGGCTACAGAGCAAGGTCATAGAACCCACCTTCCTTCCAAAAAGCCAACTACAAAACAAACCTCCAGCTGGACTAGCATGCCACCACAATGAACCTTTTAGAAAGGGTCTAGGGTTGGGTTTCTGTGAGGTTATTGGAAAGGGGAGTGTACCGACCTCCGGCTTGATCTCTGTCTCCAACGCTGGGAACATGGTCCTGCCGAATAGGATAACGTAGGCCAGTCAATAGCACCGCACCCAGCTGCAACCTCTGCCTAATTTTCAAAAGGGCAGCTGATTACACAGAACCCTCAAATCACAGCCGGAAAAGAAACCCATCCAACCACACAGCACCGCCAAAGAACACCAGATCTGCCGGCCCTGCCCCTTCACAGCCACAGGACTTCAGGGAAACCCTAGTCAACCCAGCGTCCTAGGAAGGAGCGGACGGTGGTTCCCAGCACGCACCTGAGGAGTCGGGGTGCACTGCGTGTCCCCGCGCCTCGTCCTGCAGACCTCCCGGGACCCTCCAAGGCCCCATGCCGGACACCAGGACGCCACAGAAAAAGGAAAGGAACCGGGTTGGAGGAGGCACGTGCAGAGTCGCCTCAGAGCAGTTGAAAAGGAAAGGTCAGGGGTCGAAAGCCA